TTCTATTCTGTTCTATTCTATTCTGTTCTGTTCATCGGGTTCCTTACAGAGTAAGTAAGTCCTTACGACTTGGGAGGCCAAAACGCATTTGCACGTGATCTTGTTCACGGTTGGCCGTTGGCGCCCGAAGCCTCAAAGGCATTTTTAACTCCTAAACTGGCTTATGGGGGCTCAAAGGTGGCGGGGTGAGGCTTGGGTGGCATTTCCGGTATTCGCCGTCTTGTAGATCATTGAGTCATGGCAACTGATGCGAAGAAAAAGGTCGGACGAACTGTGACGACGGCGATATCTGGTCATGCAGATGGATGTACAGCTGCTATTAAATTTTTGTGTTGTGAATATTTGTCAGATTGATGGCAATGATTCGATGCCTATCGGTCAATAGGTTGGAGGGCTGTCGTGGAGAAATGTCTCAAGAAAAGTTGATGCCAAGACCTACAAGCATAGTGTGCGTCGGTATCAGTCTAGCAAGTCTAGCGCACAGTTTTTTCCTTCACGTGTGCATGCTCCTCCATGGTTGGTTGTTGTACTACTGTACTACCTCTGTGGCTCCAGTATGAGCACCCGCAGTACATGCAGTAGCTGCAACAACAACAACAATAACAACAGCACATGAGTGACATGGCTAACCAGGGGCAGCAGCTACAGCAGTAGCAACAAAATCCGCATTTGTCATCAGCAAGACCAGCAGCCAAGAGACTGATAACATGGGCCGGCGACAAGCATAGCAAGAATAGCCGCGACATCAACAGCAACACCGTTAGCGTCGTCATAACCAGCGGTCCAGATTCGCAAACTGAAAATAAGCAGTCGTACATGATGTTTCAGAGTCTGGCAGGCTTTGGCTGCGGTGCTTTCCCGCCTCCTGGACGCATGAGGTTTTCAGACTTCTAGGGGCATTGGAGACGACTGTAGTGACTATTGTCCGTCAGGAAGCCTTCCGCATCGCAACGCTTGGAAATGCAAAAATGACCGGCTCGAGCTCTTTTGGGATCATCCTTTCGGCCCTTCCTGCGACCGCCTCTTCCACCGCTTTGCAGCCATGGCCCTCCGCAACCTGATCCTCATCAGCCTCGCAGGGTTCGCAGTGTGCAAGCCGGAGCTCCGTGGTGCGGAGCTCCAGTGCAGCGGCTCTGGCAGCATCCCCCAGGGACCGGTCTGCTACGGTGGCTCCCTCCTGACCGAGACCTTCTCGATCCACGTCGTCAGCCACGATGGCGAGGTTGGCATTGTGGACATGAAGGCCGAGGGTCCCCAGACCGCTGAGTGCGAGGGCGCCAACTTCGAGAACAACGACAACGTGATCACCATTGAGACTAGGTCAAGCGTGTTCGGTGGTATACTTGTTTTCTAGGGTTTTCTGCTTTTTGGGTTCCTGTTGTACGGTAGTGGGTTACTGAACAGCCTAGGAGAACGACCACGGCTGTGGCCTGACCAAGTACGACTACGCGGTGGAGTATTGCCCTGACCAGGACAACCTCATCATCAGCATCTGGGTTCTTGTTGAGGAAGGTAGTGTAAGCTACCACGATAAGGAGACCCTATCATTTTCTACAGAGCCTTATTGCCATTACAGTAACTTAGGCTTTATTCTCTAGCAAGAGCCGAGGTATGGTGAAGCCCTACAACGTGCGGGTGGTCTTGGAGAACCAGGCCTGCCCCGCAGCGGGCGAGGTCTAAGAAGCGAAGAAACTTTTCGTGAGGGGCGCGGGCAGGAGGCCTGGGGCGGAGGGGCTGTGGCAGTTTGGGATGCCGATCGGGTGAGAGGATGTCGCGTTCCAGAACCACAGGCTTCGCCAAGAAGGGTTTCGTGTATATCAACTTGCATGAACGAGCAGATGGGTGGTCATGCATAGCATGGGGAGAAGGTGCAACTTCACTACGCATGTTTAGCAAGCCAAGCTCCTGAGTTTTAGTTATAGTTCATTTTGACAAGATGCGTTTGATTGACAGCTTCTACTCCCCTGAGATTCCCAGTATCTGCTGAAGTTCCTGGTGCCTGGCAATGTCCAGGCACGCAGATCTAAATGAGACCGCATGTCTACTAGCTGCTACTAGCTTGCAAAAAGAGCTTTGCCGATCGACATCTCGTGGTCCGGGTGCGAAGCATCAGGATTCGGAGTACTGCTGCATCAGCCACAGTCATGTCGTGTTGCTTTGTTGTCGGTAACTATGACGCTGGAGACGAGATGCCGCTGATAATGGTGATGGAGTCATGATGATGGCGTTGAAGATGACAACTGGTAGTTATGGAGTGAACGGTGCTGTCACTCGGCAAGAACATCAAGACTTGATGATGAATGGTGAAGGAAACCGTCTTGTCCCCCACAGTTTTGCCACGGAGGTGACAATCTTAACCTTGTTCGAGAGTAGGTGAAGAGAATTTGCTATAACACTTGATGTGTTTGTCCCCGGAGGCGATAGATCACACTTTGTTCTGCTCGCATTAGGAGTGCCCCGACCCGCAACAGTTATACAAGGTTTAAGATATGGTACCTGCAGCAAAAAAGATATGGGAGTTTCCGCAAATTAGGGGTACCTTATTTTGGGGTCCTTATAATATGGATCCGATTATTTAGGGTACTATATTAGGGTCCCCTATTTTCGGAAACCCCCATATGGTACCATCAGACAGATCGGGAGACCTGGCTCGAAAAGTCAGCCGAGCCGAAAACGTGAAGAGACACATAATCTGGGTTCTTTTTAAGGGGTTTAATTTAAGTTACCATAATAAGGAAACCATTTTATTTACTATAGATCCCTATTATGGTAACTTAAATTTAATCCCTTAACAAGAACCCAGTAATGTGTACAAACTGCTCGCTGTGTATCATCGCTTCAGTGGCTAAGGTTTTTACACGTTTACTTCAGGTCGCTTCGCATCTTTCTGTCGATGAACCCATCTTGGCTGTTTAACCGAAGCCTTGGACTCTACGTGGACCCTGAATGACTAGTATGATGAAATCATAGTAAGGAGCCCTCAAAACCTAGGGTCCAAGTCAGTGCAGGTATGCCCCGGACCTCAAAATCCCAGACCCTACTGTCGGGAGGGGAGGGTTTAACACGTGTTTTTTATGGGTGTGTGTGTGTGTGTGCAAGATCATGTGGCCCAAACCTTAAACCCTACACCCCACAGCGCATCTCTGCACCGCAAAGCCCCTAAACCCTAAAACCTAAACCCTAAACCCTAAACCCTAAACCCTAAACCTGCGAGGTCACCTGGAGGCCTTGCGGGAAAGGGGGACCTTGGAGGCCGCGGCGGCGGAGCGCCTGCTGCGGCGCTGGCCTGTTTGGGCTTTTGGATTTAGGGTTTAGGGTTTAGGGTTTAGGGTTTGGGGTTTGGTGACTGGTTTAGGCTTTTGGGCTTCGTGCTGAAGAAGAGGGGATGGGGGTTTGTGAGGTCGTCTTCTTCAGGGGCTTTTGCGAGCTTGTTTGAAGGTTTGTAGAGTTTTGTGAAGACTTTTCAGCGGTTTGAGGCTGTGTATGCCGGTTCCCACAAGAGCTGTACTATAAGTGCTCTATAGGGTTTCTATAGGATTTTAGGGGTTGGAGGGTTCGTATCGCACATTCGGCTAGGGTTGAGGGGTTGAGGGTTGAAGGACTTAAGGAGTTTGTGGGGCTGAGGGCACAGGAGCCTAGAGGCTTAGGACTTGGCTCGCGACCAAAACCCTAAACCCCAAGCCCTAAACCGAATCGCAAGCGAGGGTCGGATCTGGCGGTGCCTTATCTAGGGTTTAGGGTTTAGGGTTTAGGGTTAAGGGGATCTGGCTTTTTAGGGGGTGCACTCTGGTCCAATAAACTTTCGAAAAACTCCCAAGTAGGCCTAGTTACTAGTATTCCCGTCTGGTCCGTAATCCGATTATAGGATCAATGTAACCCCGAAAATCTATGCTAACCACTAAGACCCTTTCATTGCGGCACACCCAGAGACTCCAAAACCCCTTGATTAAGGAATAGACTTTAAATTATAATAGGATCCCTAAGGTGATTTAAGGTATATTCCTTAATTAAGGGGTTTTGGAGTCTCTGGGCACTTGAGCTCCTTGCCGGGAGCTGTCCTTTCGACCCGAGGCTGCTGGAGGCTCTCAGCAGAACGGTCCCCGAGGACCGACCCCGGTTTTGAATCCCACACCCGACGTTAGCGGAAGATGCAGCCGGACTGCATCAAAACCCTACGCCCCCGAACTCCTAAACGCCTAAGCCATAAGCCCCCAAACTCCTAAACCCTTACCCCAAAGAATGGGTCCGTGCTGAGTTTAAGGTTTGGGGACTGGGGTTTGCGCCAATTTGGGGCTGAGGGTTTGGCGTTCAGGGTTCAGGGTTTGGTGTTTAGGGTTTAGGGTTTTCATTTAAAATTTAGGGCTTAGGATACAGGGATTCAGGGCTCAAAAAGCCAGCGGTTGATTTGAGAGGAGTCGTTCTTAAGTCCTGATTCCTGGTGTCGCGCATACCCTATATAAATCCTTTAACCTTAGGGATTTAGGGTTTAGGCACCTGCGCCGACGCGGCAGTGTCAGGTTGCGGGTCCTCACATGGCGCAAAGCGAAATCCTAAACCCTAAACCTCAAGCCCCAAACCCCTAAACCCTCAACCCAAAACCCCTGAACCCCCAAAATGTAAGACCCTAAACCCTAAACCCTAAACCCGCAATACTGTTGATGATATAGCTCCTGCATTACCTGATAAGGACACTAAACGATGGGAATTATGGTATATGCCTTATTCTGGGTAATGCAGGATTTATATCATCAACCGTAGTAATGAACCCTAAACCCTAAACCCTAAACCTTGCGCCCCAAAGGTCTCTGTCCCGCCGATGCAGGAAACGCTTTCTTGCAGAATCCCTACACCCTTAACCCTAAACCCTGGTATCCTTCAGCTCAATGTGTTCGCCGGGTTGTCTTTCGTAGGACGTTCTGGGTATGGGTTTAGGGTTTAGGGTTCTGGGTTTAGGGTTTAGGGTTGTTCTGGATTAGGGTCGCCATTGAGGGTTCCTGATTGCACCAAAGCTACGCAGGAACTTGCAGTGGGTAAAGGCTTGAGTCACTGAGGCATAGGGTTTCAGAGCGGCTCATGAAGGCATGCCATATTGGGATCCGTGCTAGGTGCAAGGGTAAGAGAGAATCAAACCCTAAACCCTAAACCCTAAACCCTAAACCGTGGACCAGTGTGCTGGAGCCTGGACTCTGTTCGTAGAGCCTTCTTTCTTACGCAATCTACAGGCCGATCATTTTGGAAGGAAGGCCCATATGTGCAGAACACTCTTCGGTGAGACACGTCAAACCGACCACAGCAATGACCCATCATGTCGTCGTGTCCATCTATTCATTTGTGCATACTTGTACACATACGTACATACATACATATGTACATACATACATACATACATACATACATACATACATACATGCATACGTACATACGTGCGTACGTACATACATGCATACATACATAAATACGTACACATATATTACATCGAAACATTGCTCATTTGATGATCGTGCTTGTAGGTTTTTCGGACTTGTTTGGTGCTGATTGTCTTCAAGACATACCCATACCATCATGTCATTTTGACAGGCCGCGGGGCAGACCCCTGAGAAATCGAGCTTGCTGCATCAGGCGATGACCTCGACCCAAAGCGACCCAAAGCCAGGGCGGTTTTCATGATTCCTCCTTTATCCTGCCGTTGTTTGAAGATGGGACCTAGATGCCCTTTTGCCAAGCTTACGTATATGCAGCTAACAGATTCGGCCATCCATATCTTGACATTCAGCAATGCTGCATTTTGCTCGCCCCACGGACCCTGGCGGTTTGGGTATGGCTGGGGCGGCAAGCAGCGGAGGTCGCGATTGGCAGCAGCTTGCAGTTCATCTAGCGCAGAAGGTGCCAGGAAGTGGAAACGAGAAAGCTTTCCACGAAGCGATCATTGCCTGCGGAAGAGCCCAGCAGTGGCATGCAGCCCTCGAACTCTTGTCAAGGATTTTCTCAAGCAGCAAAGATCCCAGCGTTTACTGCTTCAATGCCACGATAACGGCATGCGGGCGTGGATTCAAGTGGCGGCATGCGTTAGCATTGCTGACGGATATGGTAAGAGTCCAAGCTCTGCCCACTGTGGTTAGCTATAGTGCAGGCATCAGTGCGTGTGCGAAAGGTGGCGAGTGGCAGATGGCCTTGTACTTGCTGTCGCAGATGCCTTTGGCCAGACTTGTGCCGGATCAGATCTGTTTTAATGCAGGCATCAGTGCGTGTGAGAAAGGTGGCGAGTGGCAGA